AGAGCGACTGAGCGTTCGTCGAGTCGGACGATTTTGATCATTCTGTAATAGAATTATCCAAATCGTTCGGAAATGATTTCCGCCGCAGCTAACACGATCCTCGTCGGGATCGTTCCATGTGGTGGTAGCCACGAGAATGAGGTCGAGGGAATGAAGCTCGAGTGCACTCGCGGGAGAGCTTGGCGCGTGGCGTCTCCCACGCCGGTTAAACTGGCGGCCAGTTATTGACCCGGTTTCCGTCGGAAACCATCAGGCTGATGGCATCAGCGTCGCACAGTGCAGGATACTAAGGCAGGCGTTCCGGAAGATGAGCGATCGCTCCACACCTGATGATGTTCATAGGTGCGGGTGAGGTACTTACCAGATGGCTACTGTCGCTACCGTCTCATGTCGCTGTGACATTGTCACAGCGAAGATCGTAAGGTTGCTAACAGCAACTTGCTGTAGGGAAGTTAGATGCTGACTGGTCAGAATATGTAGTATAGTATACAAGGACATACTATTCAACTCAAGTATACTTTCTCGACTTCGTCTCTAGCTTGTCCTCTGAACGTCTTCGACACGCTACTGGGATCGCGAGTATCTGAGGAGCTTCTCATCTCCAGCATGAGCTTCACCACCTTTGTCGATTCCTTTCTCTTGATCGAACCCCATCGCCGGTGGTTCTATCGAAGAACGTGCTTGTAAGCGAGATCCAGTGAAACTGAGTTTCGGTGCATCTCTGTAACATGCAGAATGGTGTATCTCGCACACATGTTGCGGATCTGAGCCAGGATTGCGCCACACTACTTGATAGCATCTGCAAAAATATTCGTAGCAGAGTAGAGTCTACTCAGGAGACCCAAGGAAAATAACAAGGTCTCAGCAAACCCCAACTTCACTCGAGGACCTAACTTTCCAAGTTAACATACTAGATATCATCCGGTATATTCATCCAGTGGATGAGTCCCCTTCAGAAACGCAACTCACAGATGCCATTAAAAAATCAGTGACGAACCAGCTTAGGCATAGGCCCTGATAACAATGAGCCTGCGACACCAACTGAATTTGTTGATGAATAACCGACAACTGGTTGAAAACAGATAGGTAGACTAACATATTCCATGCGACAATATCATATTATCGGGTAATCATCGAATGACCAATGAAGAGAAGTGGTTGTCTACTGTATCGTTATACCTCAAAGAGTGAGACTGAGCCGGTAAGGTTCACTGAGAGGGTCAATCTACCTCAGGAGACGAGCGACGGCTTGATCCGCATTAACACGGCCAAAATTAAGTGAAATCTTGCCAGTACTGTCCTTAACACCTGGAGTTGCCGTCTCCTTGAGAATGCTCTTCACAGTTCCAGGACTTAGAGAAGAGTCTATGCTGTAGAGCATTCCAGCTATAGCTGCTATGATCGGTACAGCCATTGACGCCCCAGACGCTCGTCCATACAGAGGGCTTAACGAGGTGGTCAATAAAGCATCCCCAGGAGCGGCGATGTCAACGTAAGAGGCATAGCTGCTCACGAGGTTCATCCCAGTCCTGGTAGTAGCAGCTACACAGATCACACCTTCCGCCCAGGAGCTCACCGCACATGGATAAACGTCTGTTTTGATCTCTCTTCGATCATTAGGGACAGATGCAACAACAAGAATCCCAGCATCGGAGGCCCGCTTGACCATGTCTCTGAAGCCTGGAGAATCCGTCGTCAGGGGAGTTACGATAATTTTCACATTGGTCTCCTCTCTGTGCTTGATGATGTGATAGAAGGCCTTCCTTACATGAAACAGCTCGGAGGTTGTATATATAGGCATGAGCCGCACGTGGTCTAATATCCCGGCAATACCAATCTTGTTGTTGGTAACGGCGCCGAGAATTCCAGCGACCTTCGTGCCATGAGGAGTTCGAGGGGCCGTATCGGTATTATCATTAACGACGTTATATCCGGTGATAACATTGCTTTGTAAGTCTTCGTGCTTGGAGTCTAACCCTTGATCAACCAGAGCAATGGTGACAGCTTCTCTCTTGCGGCCAGACTCGGCCAGGCGCTTCCAGGCGGCCGGTACAGAAATGGCCGTGAGGTAAGGAGACTGGTCGATGAACCTCGGATCGTTTGGATCCGTGTACTCTCCACCACCGAGATCGGGACTCCCACCATCCCACATCGCAGTACATGTGATTTGGAGGACCCCGTATAAGAGAAGGGCAAAATGGCACATTTTGGGAGGATACTGAGGTTCCGAAATCCTCGTGATAAGAGAATAAGCCGTAAAGGATACACACGCACACGATTGTGTATGCGTGAAGCATATAGCTAATGCTCCGCTACTAATCTGCCTGTCGCCTTTCTCTCCTCCGGTTGTAACAGCAATTCTCTCCCCTTATGTCGAGTTCACACGTGGATCACGCTGAGGTTCTTTCAGATGGTGCCCAGGCCTAGATAGCTACCTTAAAACGTGCCCCTATTCCTGTTCGAAAGTGCTGCTCACCTGTGCCGTCATTTTTTCACCCGACACGCCAGGTACATGTTACAGTGACACTGTGACAGTGTGTCACAGACTGTGACAGTGACAGTGACACTGTGTGGGCGGATATACTCGAAGTCGTGATCGGGTCGTCGATTGATACTATAGGTAGTCGATGCTAGTGACTCTGGCAACACAATCCGAAGGGTAGATACGGGTATAAGATAATACTTAGCTGCGGTCGACAAGGTTGGCAGGGGTGCCAACAGTATTCCTCAAAAGAATCTCTCGGAAGACTCTGAATGCAATCGATCGTTTGACGCATGCACACATTAGCTACGGATAAGGCTCTCGCGCTCGCCTTATACTGTCTATTCCGCACAGGCAGGGCCGCACAGGCGGACGACAACAAAAAGGTAGCTGACAATGGCCGAACGGAGTCGATTTACATATAGCGAACAATCGATACAGTGCAGCTAACAGACTGGCCAACAGGGGTGGGCAGATCCTCCTACCACATCTCGTCCCCTGTAAATCTGGCGCAGTGAGGAAATAACGTAATGAAAATCAAAATGGCAGCAGAAATAATCATCTAGCTAGCAGTGGATAGCAGCAATAACTGGCTACAGGCTGTGTGCAACAGCTAAGGGCCGACAGACTTATAGCGATTCAAAACCCAATTGGACACGTCCTCGAGCTCGATCTTAGGATCCCACCTCCACCAGGAGTTCAACGAATACGGGCCAGCCAACTGTTCACGACGCAGCTGGCGGCGGGCGTCATCAGTCTCAGGTGCATAAAACCATTCGTCAGGCTTGATGTCGGAGTAAACCTCGGGCCAAGGGAAGGCTTCTTCGTTAGGGAATGGCTGTACTCCCTCTCTTGCGCGAACGGCCTCGTACTTGTAGATGTGCTGGACTAGGGCTTCAGGCTTACGAAGACCACTATCACGACCAAGCTCATCCTTCATCACGGGCAGAAAAGCACGAAGAGAACGGGCAACGAAGACCGTACCATCGGGCCGGAGAGGCATAACCCGGGCCAAACGTTGAACTTGATGTAGAGCTCGCTGGCAATGACGCTGACAGCAACATAATACCGAGCAATCATTCCTTACCGGGCCATCTATGTGCCCCC